TGCAAACACCAAATAACTCATGACTATTTTAAGAACCACACTGTAGCTCAGTCCTTCCCCCCCCCCCGTATCGATATTAAGATAATCATTTTGGCAAGGATTTTCACAACACCTGCTTTCGAGAGAAAGTTTATAGTCCGTTTCTTGAAAGTTGAGCGCGAACTCAACAGCGCAGTAACGGTATCGGTTCAGTTCGCCTTTCTAGCAAACGTTTACACCTCTAGTTGGAAGCATGTCTATTAATACCGTGCACTCTCTTGTTCCTTCTCAGTCTGTTTAGTCACGAGTAGTAAGCGTACGGTAAGCGTATGATAAACCGTAAGGTAAGCGTATGATAAACCGTACCAAGTTTTGGTATTATACTCTTAATAGTACACTTTTACGTAAGTAGGCGGGATGAAAAGCACCATTTAGGTAGTGTTTAAGTCTTGGGTGGTACGTTACGTGTAACCCCCGCAGCTTACGCGGCGACAAATAAGTATATAAACAATGATAAAAAATTGCAGTGCTGCTTTCGTGAGCTGGTGAATAATCGTTCCCACTGTCCAAATGTCCCTAATTTTTGAGTACGAAGAACGGATCACTTATCTACTCGCACAATTCAGCACTTATCTTTTTTTACAGATTAACCCCTTGAACCCGGGAGCGTGGACGTTTTCCGTTTTACGAATTTATGTAGAGTTACAGTCGTAGGATAATTGCAGAGAATGCAAAGAGATAAAAAGGTTGTACTTAATGAGGGCAGAGCTACCACTGTATTCATTTAAAACTTGTCCTGTTACCCAAGTAGATCGTGAAATAGGTGAACGTTGGAGCAAACATGAATAAATTACTAGCTTTGGTGTATGTGGCTGGGCGGTCCTTGCGAGGCATCGGATAAGAGCGCTGCATCTGCCAACTCGACCTACCATTTGTAGTACTGCTGAAGCTGTTTTTGGAGTTAAACCTTTTTATTCGGTCCGTAAAGTTGTGCAAGGCTCTCTGGTGTGACTTTTTTTCGGTACATATCTTCCAGCTTCATTAGGAATCGGTTGTGCGGTTTCATCTTGTTGACGCTGTCTTTTGGCCTGCTAAAAATCTGCGGTGGTTGATATCATGGCTCTTTCGTCGTGACCAATTCCACCCGCAGCCAAACCACCAGCATCGATTTTCCTGCTCACCACATCTCGTAGCTGTCGATGTCCGTTGGGTTCTCAGGTTTCAAACTGACGAGTTATCAGGTCTTGTACACGCTAGACACGCGAAGAGCCAACCGCTACGTCGAAACTGGAGGCACCTGTCCAAACTACAAGAAGGAAGCACTTCGTCAATTACATTGATTAATCTGTAAAAAAAAGACAAGTGCTGAATTTTGCGAGTAGACAATTGATACGTACTTCCTCCATACTCAAAATTAGGGACATTTGGACAGTGGGAACGATTGGTCGAAAGCAGCACTACATTTTTTTAACATTGTTTATCTACTTATTTGTCGCCGCGTAAGCTGCGGGGGTTACACGTAACGTACCACCCAAGACTTAAACACTACCTAAAGGGTGCTCTTCAGTCCCGCCTACTTTAGTAAAAGTGTACTATTAGGAGTGTAATACCAAAACTTGGTACGGTTTACCATACGCTTACCGTACGGTTTATCATGCTGACCGTACGGTTTATCAAACGCTTACCGTACGGTTTATCATAGGCTTACCGTACGGCTTACTACTCGTGACTATTGTGCCTTTCCAAAGTTTTGGCCAATCTGACCTTTAAAGGCTGGTCCTAAGCAAGGGTGGGTAGGGCTAAGGGTGGGATTTGAGGACGAACTGAAGTTGAATTGCTAAGCCAGGCCACTAAATAAAATGATATTTGACCAATAACACTGTTTGATTTTGCCGACTCTGATCCAATAATACTTGATTGTGGAGGGCTTTTATTTGGTCTAAAGGGTACCTTTTAACAAATTAAGGGCTGAATGGCCAGTATTTACCGGTCATTTACCCTTACGTAAGGTATTCACAGCAGATTGATTTTAAATCCAATATGGGCTACTCATCAGACATACGCTGGCGAGGCATTGTCTTGCAGTATGTCTACAATATTGAGATCAGCGTAGTTGCTGGTGTATTGGGCGTCTCGGCCAGAAGCCTTCGGAGATGGTACCATCTCTTCAAGACAAAAGGAAATGTCGACGACACCCCAAAGAATGAGCGGTCATCTAAATGGCCGATTAAAGTGCAACAATTTGCTCGCGAGTATGTAAAGCAACACCCCTGCTTCTACTTCCAAGAGCTGCGTGAGGTATTAAAAGAGAAGTTTTCGACCCAATATTGCTGTTCCGATTCGACAATTTGTCGTGCTTTACGGTTCGATTTGGGGTTAACGCGCAAAGTGCTGACTAAAAGAGCTCGTGAAAGTATCCCAAAAGAGCGCCAAGAGTATGTGAACAGGCTATTGCCTTTCTACAGTGGGCCAGATCAAACCGGGTTTGTCGATGAAACTTCAAAGGATGGAAGGTAATGTACAATATCAATTTTGTGACTGCTACATCTTACCTGCTAATTTGTTGTATGACATTGCTATGGTTTAGGTCCTCCCTGAGAAAACACGCGTGGTCCGCGCGCGGAGACCCAGCGATTGTGTCCATTCCATTTCCCGCGGAAAGCGAATCTCAGTTCTTGCTGCGTTCGACGTGGAAGGATTTTTTGCGTGGGGTACAACCGAGGATACTTTCACCCGGCAGACGTTCCACGAGACTTTCAAGTTGAAAATTCTACCATTCCTCAATCCGTGGCCTTTACCAAGATCAATTGTCATTTTGGATAACGCCAAAATTCACATGTACGAAGAATTTCAAGAACTTATTCACGGTACTGGTGCACTGTTATTTTTTCTGCCGCCGTATTCACCTGACTTGAATCCTATAGAAGTCGGTTTTTCTCTCCGAAAACGATGGATCCCACGCCACGCAAATATGACATTCCGTGAAAATCCTCTTGCGGTCCTCAATGTCGCGCTGTACTTTTGCACTAGACAGTCTGAGGAAGTTGGGCAAAATTTGTGCGGTCATTGTGGGTACGATGGGAACAAACTCAGTATAAAAATCAGTGAGGTTTAATGAAATTCATGTATTTGTACTGAAAACATCGTACTCTACCTCTGCTATGCTCCTTAGAGTTGATCGTTAAGGTGATCGATATCATCCATGTCTTCTGCGGGAGCGGGAGTCTCAAAATCTACCGGGTCACGGAACGGAGGGCGAAGGCTGTAGGCCGGTAAACCGAGAATTTCATGGAGATCTCCAATATGAACTTGCACTTGGATCACTGCACCTTGAATTTTGATCCTGAGCATTCTGAAATTCATGTCAGCGGTTGCTTGAGTTGTATCTTGATTCGTCTCCATTTCCTGCGAAAGCTGATCAATGTTCCGAAGTTGTCGAAATGTTGTATTATCAGGAACTTGTAGTGGAGCGTCAGCTGAAAGTCGAGCTTGCATTGCTGCCATGTACAGCTGTGAGGCTGGCCCACTCGAAATATTGCGCTCAGCTAGCATAGCTGCTACACGGGGAACTTGCTCTTGGATTCGATTCTCTGTTGCTCTACGAATAGTGTTGGCTCTTGGTTCTAGTGGTCTTGGAACATAAACAAAAATCATTGAAACAAAATCAGACTGACCGTGTAGACGAAGGCGAGCTAATTCCCAAGATCTGGCGACGCGACTGGAGAAATTTTCCTCGTCCAACTCGAGAAATTCACGTTGTGGGGCGTGCTTGGTGGGCTTGAGATAGAAGCTGAAGTCATCCTGCTAATCGTTTGGCAGACGACGAATGAATTCGGTTGCTACTTGAGCCTTGAATAGCCTAAAGCCACGGTCAATCTGAAAGGAGAAGTCGATGGGCTCGGTCTTGTTTCGGCACGAAGTGAGAGGATCGCCGTTATTGATGGTAAGGCGGCAGGTGAGAATTGCTGGTAGTGGCAGCGACATTGTAAAACTAAAAGTGAGCCTTTAAGCCAAAGAATGCCAGGGCGTGGGAGAATACTCACGGTAGAGCTCGACAAAATTTAGGAGATCATGTCAAAACGGGATGGAATTTTGCCAAATGTCATAAGATGTGGACACAATCTGTTTCGGTTTTGTTAATCTATCTTAAAATTTGTATTAAAACCATGATCTGTATATTTGCAATAAAGTAGGGATTTAGCCAATCGAAAACGTTTATGCCCAGGGAATTATCCCATCTGCCATCCGCCGAACGCCGATTGGACAGAACCTCCAGGTGGTGCAATTATTCCCGAAAATCCTATCCCGACTGATACATATGAGACTCATCCCGAAGGGATGTGGCGTGTCGACCCAAACACTTGGTTATGTCTTCGATCCGACGTAGGACTTGCACACGACACTTACCTCAAGCATCGAGCTCCCTACAGACATGAGAATTGAACCCACGCCACCTGTTAGCTGACGGGCTAATCAGGCGCATGCAAACCAGTTGCCCAGAATGCATACTAATATTTTAATAAAATTATGTCAAATCTGGTCAAATATGTCTTTGATTGGCATCGTCTTTTTTTTTCGTCAAAGGGTTAGGCTAAATTTTAGTCGGAAGCACCCGATCAGATAGGAGATCTTCCGTAAGCAGTGTTGGTATTTTACATGCCTTTTTACTTTATTTACGTGGAAACCCTTGTAAAAATGTAAAAAAATGATTAAAAACGTATAATTATATACGATATCTCAGTTCGACTGTCGTGTGGCGGCAACGACTATGGCGGCGTCCGAGCAGCCTCCAGACTTGGAACCTGCTGGCGAAGACGCTCCATGTGGGGACATCTCACTTATCATTCCGTGTTGACTCTGTAGCGAGGCTGGTGGTGCTAACCGATACGATTCAGTCGCTGCCGCTGCGCAGCGGCTTCTTTAAGGCCCCCGATCTCTCGGACGCCCACCAAGCCGAGCTCTTGTCCTGGGGCCGCTCGCTCGTGCCCGACCTGGTGCGTCAGCCCGACGTTGAGTGATCAATGATCCACGAACGCAAGGGCGTGCAGTTGTGCGAAGACCGCCAGAAGGGCGGCCTCACGTACTCCATCCGCGCTGTAGCTACCGTACGCGCCTCTCTAGACGACGTGATGGACATTTTCCTGGCTGAGAACACGGTGGACTACCGTTCTCTCATGCAGCTGCAGCTTCGCGAGTTCTTTGCGGACGCGGCGGTGCTTTTCCACAAGGAGCAGAATGAGTCGGAGTCGCTCAGTATTAAGTGGACGGCTGCGAGGACCAAGAAGAGTGTGGCTAGTTTGGGTGGACAGGTAGGCGTCGACTTGTGTCTCCTGGAGTATGCGGGTGTCATCTCGTCCAAATTGGTGGACGGACCCAAGCAGTACAACGGGCTTAATGACTCATCGTCCTCCAATACCAGCAAGAACTCGCCCGTAGGCGTGTGTCTGTACGAATCCATCGATCAGGCCGAGTGTCCGTCGCTCTACGACTCGCACAAACTCGAGCGCGCGTCGGTGTCCAATTGCGGCTTCCTGTTCCGTCCTCACGTGGACGAAGGCGTCGTAGAAAACACTTTTGTCTGCAGTATCCGCCAGCCACCTGGGGCTAGGACTAAACGTCGTTAGAACCGTGCATTGCTAGCGCCGTGGGCTTAATCTGTCGGCGGGATTGAAGAGGCTATTAGTCGTCGACGGATCTCCAAGGAGCTCACGAGACGTCGTGTGCCCACGTGGGTGAAGGACAAGGACCGCGCGTGCTGTCATTTGTGCCTCAAGACCTTCACTAACACACGACGTAAACATCATTGCCGCGCGTGTGTGGAGATTATCTGTCGGGCGTGTTCGGTGTACAAAAGTGTGGATTTGCAGTCGGTGGGGCTCACTACACTGCGTGTCTGCAAAGCCTGTATGGATGGCACGTCGTCTGCAGTTGATCGAGACGAGGCGAACCTCAAGGCTGCTGCTGCGGTGACTGCAGCAGCAAATGGAGCTACTGCTGACAAAATTAACTTGCCTGAAGGTGTGGATAATAGTGTACTCAGAGATGCAGTGGAAGAGTACGCGCTAGCTGTTCCAGGTGCTCAAGTGTCGAGTGCTCCAGATCTTGTGGGCATTGCCTGGTTGCAGCAGCTGGCAGCTAGAGATGACGAGAGCAAGACGATGGTCACTGCACTAATGGATCGACTACGTCTGGATTCCCAGCAGAAGGATGTAGGAGGGAACATCGAGGAGCAAGTGGACATCTACGATACATTGTGCAACTTGGCAGCTCAGACATTGGCGTGCAAATACGCTGTTGTGAGTCTGGTGGATGAGAACCGTCAGTGGTTCAAGAGTGCTGTGAACGTGAAGGAGTCAGAAGTGCCTCGGGACTTCAACTTCTGCGAATACTCTGTGCGAGACCAACGACATCTTGTGGTTATGGACACATTGCGAGACCCACGCTTCATAACGGCTACCAAACACATTGACAATGGCTGTATTGAGGATACACCACCACGATAACTAACAACTTACACACGATCTACAACTTTGATTTTCTGCATTCAGTTGTCAACTACGAGCGACGCTAGGCTTGTCTTTCGGGACCGAATTCCGGACAGCCTCTTCTCTTGGGGAAAGTTTGTGTCATTGTTCTGGGGGTAAGGCTGTCGGCTTGGCGCTGGAATTGGATCTGCATGTGATCCGATCCTTGTCGTTGTAAATGGCATGGCGGTATCTTCGTTTTCATTCCTGGCATTTTCATCCACACCGGTTCTTTTAGTACTGGGGTCAGCATTTACGATGCTACTAGAAGAAGTGGAGATTCTTGGTGTATTCAAAATACTTTCCCACATTTCAACTGTGGCTTCATCTCCGTACTCTCCAATCTCCTCCCAGTCGAAATGCTCAAGATACTCGTCTAGCTGCCTATTGTTAAGAGCAATTCACCAGCCAAATTTTCGATGGTGCTATCATGAGAAAGAGCCGTTTGTTGTCGAATGTCACCATTTGCGAGTGCATTAGCGGGCGGAGCCGTCGAAGTAGTTCGAGTTAGCGCAGAGGTATGACGCAGTGGGGTTGTGACGGGCCACTGACTAACGCTGCCACCAGAATTAACTTCAACTTCGCGTATACCAGGAAATAAAACGCGTACCAATGGTGGGGATTGATTTTGGACTGGATGATGTGGATGAAAAGATTCATTACCATCTTGGCGTTCACGAGCAGGCGCTCGCGTGGCAGCGGGTGTTGAGGGAGCAGTTCAATTTACGGCAGGTGTCGGCGGAGCGGCTCGATTCCATGCTGGTGCCGGGTTTTAGCCGGTGTCGCCTGAGCAGAGTTTAGCGGCGTGGCAATGCGCTGTCGTTCTCGAGGGTCAACTGTTCGAAGCAGTTTCTTAACGTTTGTGGGCTTTGCTTTCTCGCAGCGGTTTTTTTCACGAACGTATTGGCGCATTATCTGGTGCTTCATTGTTTTTTCAACTGCCAATCGATTTCGCTTCGGGGTCTGGATCAGCGCCAGCTCACTGAATAAACGCTCACATGTTGCCGTGTTAACGGCAATGGACAATATTGTGAGAGCAAGCAGAGGAAGTTTGCAGTTCTTTTTCGTACTTTTTTCGTACTCCCAAAACGTTGACACAGCATCATTGGTGAAGTCAGTAGAACGTGAAGAGGTATAAGTTCCCTGAATCCAAGCGAGCATTTCACCGCGTAGCCCACTGTCATCGTCATTTACAAAGCGACGAAAGTAATATTGGGCAATTTGACACACATCGTCCTTTTCAGTAATCACAGTTGGTGGTAGACTTCGTGCTTCTACGACATACTCAGGATGAAGAAAGAACCCTAATATAAAGAGGGGTTGCTCACAGGCATTCCAACGAGCTTCCACTAAATCTGTGAGAGAGTCACCCAACTCTGTCGACGCAAACATACGATAGATATCCATAAAAGAGATAACCACATCGGCTACGCTATTTTCGTCCCTTTGGAGACGAAATGAAGCAGTACACAATGGTCTTACAATTTTCTCTGCAGTCTCCAACTTTGTCCAGAACTCAGCATCCCCTACAACTCGAATTTTGTCCGTGAGATCCGGGCTGCTCCGATATGTGAAGGTCATATCTTCTAAGGCACCGCGTACACGAAGTAGCGAAGCAAAGCAAGCCTGCATAGAGTTCCACCTAGTTTCGCACAGCGTGAAAACAGGAAAACTATCGCCATAGCGCTTGCTCATTAATTTAGCAGCCCGAACCAGCCACTTAGCAGTAGAAGTGTTCAGAAAACTCGCAACCCCTGCGGCTTGTTCGGAAACCGTTTTGAACGCCGATTTTAAAACAGCTTTCACCAGGTTGTTGATATCGTGTGCGAAGCAAGGTATAAAGGCAATATTTGGGAACCGAAGTGCCACTATACGGCGTGCACGGCTACATTGGCCGGCACTGTCAGTCACAACTGCACCTACTTTCCACTCTGATGCCAAAAGCTCGAAAATCACGCCTTCCATCTGCTCGGCAATTGCAAGACCGTCATGCCGGTCACCAGTAGCTTTGACATCGTAAGTCAAAATCCGTCCAAAAAATGCAATAACACATCCCAGTACATGCAGCTTTGCAATAGTTTCCCACACATCCGACAAAACGTTTACCCTCCCGCCACTTCGGTTCTGAATTGCCCGAACACTGTCACGTTGCTCCATCGAGTGCAACTCAGCGTTTTCATTTAATACTCGACCGCTCAATACATGACGATGTGTCATTGCCCCAATCCCTCCACAACGAGCATTCAAAAAGACCAACAAGCGTCTAAACGACATTAACTCCACAAACGAGTCAGGAAGCAAGGCTTCAGCTTGAAATTTCAGCAACAAACGCCAGAATATCATTTTCTCAGCTGCACTAAATTCCGGAGGTGACGTGCATTGTTTCTTGGCACCGTCGTGCTGACCCACGTTAGAATCACCCTCGCTCAGAAACGATCTTTTTACGTCAACAATGTAAAAATGCTGTGTAAAAATGTTTTTAATGTTGTATCAAATCCTTTTTACGTAAAATGTAAAAATGTGAAAACAAAAATGCCAACACTGCCGTAAGGGCCATCCTCCTACGTAGGACCATAAAACTGAGGGCGTTTTGGCAGAAAGGCACAATAAACAGACTGAGAAGAAACAAGAGAGTGTACGGGCGGTAATTATACTCCACCAAGTATTTTCGCGAAATTTTAACCAATAATACCCCTTCAAGCAAACCGCTGGAACTAATAGAAAGCCCACATCAAGACGAAGCGAATGGCGGTTTGTTCACTCGATTTCAATGAAAACTCATTATGTTGTCGGCAGAAATGTCAACTTCAACTTCAACACGTACGGCGGTAAGTATACTGCCACTAGTTTTTCTTGCGTTTATCGAAACCCTAAATGTCCTAGCAGCTATCTAGTACTTTGTCTTCGCCCCATGAAGCTCTAGCACCTCTACGCACCTCTTAGATATTGAACCAAGCAGCTTTAGCATGAACTCAGACGTGATTTCTTCCCAGCACGTCTTGATAGTCGCAATCAGAGTGTCCCTAGTCTCAAATTGGCGTCCATTTGCATACACGGCGCGTGCAAGCACGCCCCACATGTTCTCTATAGGATTCAGGTCTGGAGACTTCGCTGGCCACTCCATAACAGTCACGCTCTCTTCCTCAAGAAAGCCTTTCGTGGCCCGGGATGAATGTATCGAGGCATTGTCCTGTTGGAAAATGCACTCTCGACCGTAGACACGATCCAAAAACGGCAGCAAATACTCCGACAACGTGTAGATATAGCGTTCGCTGTCTTGCGAGCCTTCTAAAATCACCAACTCGCTCTTCCCCTCGGCACAGAATGCACCCCACACCATCACACTTCCTCCTCCATTCTGACGGCGCGAGAAGACCTGCGGCTCGAACCGTAAATCGTGCCAGTAGAACTGTAGGCCGTCAGGACCATCTAAATTAAACTTCTTCTCATCAGAGAAGACGACTTTTGACCACTTTGCAGCGTCCCAAGTCACCTTCTCACGCGCCCACTTGAGGCGATTTTCCTTATGTTTTTTGGTGAGCACGGGGGTCGCCATACGCTTCTCGTACTTGAACTCCGGGCTCTTTTGAAGCAGCTCTCGGATTCGTCGAGCACTAATGGGCAATTCAAGCTGCGTTTTAAGCTTGGGAGAGCTCAACCGCCCCTTGGAAGCCTCTCGAAAGAGGCGGCGCTTGGCAGTAAGGGTCAGTTTAGGGGGCCGGCCTGGGCGCTTGGTCGTGTTGTAGGCGTCTGGGTTGGCGAGAAAAGCGTGAGCAAGCGGTCTAGAACGCTCTAAAGCCTTTGCAATGGCTCTCTCGCTCAATCCACACTTGTGAAAAACTTCAATTTCTCCTTTCTCCTTCTCTGTCAATGCACGACCTCTAGGCATGCAGGATGTCACCAATACTATCCATCATAGAGCATACGATACACGCACATATTAGTTAGTACACAGGCTGCAACATACGTGCTGTTTAAGTGGGAACAACGCGGCTAACCTGGCAAAATCTGGGGTGGCAGTATAGAAATCGCCGCGTCAAGCAATTAGGTCGACACTCTTTCTGCTGTTAAGGAGGCGGCAGAACTCGGAATGGCGTCAAACCACCGCCATTTGCTTTGTCTCGGTGTGGGCTTTCTATTGGTTCCAGCGGTTTGCTTGAAGGGGTATTATTGGTAAAAATTTCGCGAAAATACTTGGTGGCGGTATAATTACCGCCCGCACTGTACAGTAGACATCCTTCCAACCAAAGGTGTAAGCGCTTGCTAGAAAGGCGAACTGAACCGATACCGCTACTGCGCTGTTGAGTTTGCGCTCAACTTTCAAGAAACGGACTATAAACTTTCTCTTGAAAGCAGGTGTTGTGAAAATCCTTGCCAAAAGGATTATCTTAATATCGATACGGGAGGGGGGGGCTGAGCTTCAGTGTGGTTCTTAAAATAGTCATGATGGCTTTGGTGTTTGCATTTCGTCGTTCAAATATTTTTATTACATATCTCTGACCAACGTGTTCCAGGCGAAATGATGGTCTTAGTGGTACGTCGTCATGGGAGCTGCCTGATTTTATTGCTGAATGAAGAGCGCAGTATTCACTGCTTACCAGCTATTATACTGTACAAGTAAATTGGAGCAGGTGCATAAACGCAAAGGCAGTCGCTTCAGGAAAAAGAATTAAAATAAAGTATCAAGCCGTTCACAATCCCTACCAATCCGTTCGCTGTTCGTATCAAGCAGACGAGGAAAGTATCGGTTCCGTTCGGTTGGTGAAAGTTTCTGAC